GTGGAAAGGACCTTGAGATTCTCTAGTTCCACCCCCTGTGCCGTGGGAGATGCTGCGGTGCCGCCAGCGCTGTGATGTGCAGCACACCCAGAGGCTGGACTGAACCCCCCCGTCCAAATCCAGGGGTTTCTTCAGCCGTTTCCCATCGGGATGCCCCAAACCCTTCTCTTGTGGCCCCTTTTCCCCTGGTTCTCTCCTGGCTCAGAGCCCCCAAGACCCCTTTGGCTCTGGGTCATCACCCCCGATGTACAGTGCAGTGACCATCGCCCAGAGGCGGGAGCGCTCCGGCAGGATTCACCCCTGGAATTTGCATCTTTGCTTTAAATCAGGATAATTGGCCTTTTGTGGCTGTTCCAGCAGTTCCAGGCTCCCGGTTTCTGCTCACACCATTCCCTGGAAAGCAGCAAGTGGAGGCAGGCCCTGAAACCTGGTGCTGGTTCTGGGAGGGGTTGATCTGTGCCTCTGTCGCCTTGTTCTAGAGGGTTTGGGGGTGTCTCGGTGCTAGTTTTGGGTTTCGTGAGTAGCTTTTTGGTGCCAAAATCCCACCTGAGGGGGGTCCTGGCTGCTGTGCCCTGGGTGGTGGGAGCTGGGAGCTTCCCCGGGGGGGTTTGGTGTAGGTTGATGGTGAAGTTGAGCCTGGGGTGGTCAGAGCCGGTGTTCATGTCATCTGAGGAGCAGTGCCCAGGAGATCCCGTTCTTGAAGGCATCTCCCGTGGGGTTTGCAGCCCCATTTCCAGCTCAGGATTGCTGGGTCCGTAGTGAGTGCTCCCAGTTCCTGTGTCCTTCCAGACCTTGCACCTTTGTCTCCTCCTGCCTCATTCTTATTCATGGCTTGGAAAAGGAGCAGATTGATCCGGAATCCAGCCGGAGGCGGCCGGTGAAGGCAGAAAGGGAGGTGTTGGGAGGGTGAGACCCAGCCTCAGCCGCTCTGCTCCGGCAGGATGGGAGGGACCCGAGTTGAACCAGGACAGGAGAGCCCCGTGTCACCGAGTGCTCCACAGCTCAGCTCGGTTCAAACCCCCCATTCCCCGAGCAGCTTCCCACAGGGATCCCACTTTTCCTTCTCTCCCCCAGTGTGCCCGGACCTGGTGGACAAGTACCTGGAGGAGACGTCCATTCGCTACGTGACGCCGCGAGCGCACAGCGACGTGGAGCACGGCCTCGGCCACCCCCAGAAATCAGGTGGGTGCTGCGGGGTCACCCCATGGGGATCCATCGGGATCATCCCACAGGGGTTGTTGACTGTTGTGTCACCCCCAATGACATTGGGGCTGCTTGGTTCGGGGTGCGATTTGGGGGTCCCCCTTTGGGGGCTCTCACAGGCTCCTGGGGCTGGAGGGATGGGATGGAGCTGGGGACAAAGCAGACAT